GAATCGGGTTGTTTTAGGGGATGTAATGTGTGCAAAGCATGTACCACCGCCTCTATGGGGAGAACTAAGGAATTTATTAGTCATATCACGGGGGAGGCTTTCAAGATTAAATCATTAATAGGTTGCCACACGGACTATGTAGTATACTTACTGCAGTGTCCGTGTGGCAAACAGTATGTGGGACGCACGCAACGTATCCTGAAGGTCAGGATCTTGGAACACCTAAATAATATACGTAAAGGACTGGTTACTCATTCAGTCTCTGCCCATTGCAGTAATTGTCCTTCCTTCTCCTTTAGAGATTTAAGTGTATGGGTATCGAACATGTCCTTCCCTACTGGCGGGGAGGTGATAGGATTAAAAAGTTATCCCAAAGGGAAACCTTTTGGATACACAAACTAAAGACCCTTGAACCTAGGGGCCTGAATATTGGGATCGATCTGGTGTGTTTCTTGGATTGATTTTTTGGTTATTCTTCTCCTCTATGTAAATTATTCCATAAGTATCTTTGGGAATATGAGGAGCTCTGGCAGTCTAAATATAGGGAAAAAGAAGTGTCTTTAATCAATACAATTCATAATTTATATAAAAAAAAAAAATCTTTATATTATATAGTTAGGTGTACCTTGCTGGTTATATGGTTTAAAATTATTATTATTGATATTGAGGGAACTTTTTTTAGGAATATATTATTTGTGTTCTTATTTTTTGAATAATGAGATGTTTGTCACTTTAAATAGACATACATGGCACTATTTAATGGTGTATGATATTGTCATATATATAATATGTGGGGAAGTTCCATATGAACTATCTTAACATGGTTGTTGTATATTACATGCATTAATTCACTTTTCTTCTTTTAGAGATTAATTACATTTAATGCATTTAACACTTTTGGGCTTTGTCCTTTTGATGATCACTTATATTGATGGCTCCTCGCTGTTCTAGTTGAAAAAGAGCAGTGAATGTATTTGGAACGCATTTGGAGCGTGTTTGGAACGCATATGGAACGCAAATGGAACGCGGAAGTGAAGGGAGACATCCTCATAACAGCTAGGCAGGGGCGATGCTCCTTGCGATGAGACTTCAAATGGAAGACTTGGACAACTGGGGTAGGATGAGTAACATCAGGGTGAGAGGCCCCAGATGGCTAGGACATGGAAGCACTACTTACCTCACTTTTCACATATGTTCTGAGTGCTAATAACCCACACAGATTTTAATGGGCACATATGTGGCATATTTCACTGAGGGCGTACCTGGGACATTATATGCTTCATGCACTCATTTCCTTTAAAGGACCAGATCATGGCTAAAGCACGGAGACCTCCAACCTGGGACTTTTAAGGTGCAGCAGTCTCCCATTTCACTGATCTCTCCCTGTTGACTCTCAAGGCTATGAGGGCTCTAAGGCCCAACACATCCGTACTGCAGGACAGACGTATCCAGTATAAGTGAGGGTACCCTGTTAATCTAAAGGCAAAGAATAGCAATAATCAGTGGATACAAAGGTGGTTGCCAGAAAAGGTGACTAAGTTCTTGATATGTGAGGGCCTACATTACATATCAGTGCAGGACTGGGTTCCTTAGATGCAAGGCCCCAGCCATTCGAATCTGATAGGCGTTGAAGAGGACAATCCCTGCTTGTCCCTCCGGGCTGACGGCACTCGGATCCAGTCCACCTAGAGGAATAATATAGCTTATTACGTGGAGTAACTGACCTTCCTGCTCTCAACGACCTCTTACTGTTACAACTATCTCATTCGAAATGTCAATAACAGGGCCTAGAGTGGGCTGATGGGAAATGTACATATGATTTGAATGTGCTAATTTTGCTCATGTCACCACATAAATATGGTTACATTCTCATTATTCACTTATTACTCTTATTTACACAGGGGCCTGTACGCCAGCTACAAACATGAAAATAGCATGACGAGAGGGGGGGGCGGTAGAGGGAATGTTCTATGATCATTGTATTACTGTTGTTATTGTTTAGCAACTCTACGGTTTTGGTTGCAGTTTTTGTGATTTGTTTGATATAAACCAGTGTTGTTAGAAAGATTCAGCTACATTGTATGTTCCTTTGTGAGTGGACACTGTCACCACTGGGGCTGCAGCTGAAGGTCCATGGTCCGTTTATGGTGGACTGATGCCATTGATCCTTCTGTCATCCTGTGAACGGAGATATACACTATTATGAAATTTGACTCGCTCACACATATCAATAGGACTCCTGTAGGAGCCACACTTGGGGGGGGTCATACTCTAAATAACCGGACTTTACCTTTATGGGATATTATAACAATACTGGAGGGGCAAAAAGGTCTGACGTAGCCATACTCTTCTCAAAACACACCCCATTCACAGAAACAGGTACTTAGAGGGACCCAGGGGGCAGATTCTTGTTCATGAAGGGCCTCAATGCAGATCTACACACTTAGATTCATTAACGCTCCTTAAAAAGGCCAGGCACATATCCTGCACTCTACACTTGCTAAATTACACCAATTCGCAGAAGGTATTTTGACAGTTGGGAGGGACTTTTTTGTCCTGCTGGATCCTTGTCTAGACTCCTCAACTTCCCACAGTAGCATACCGCAATCAAGTATTAGTATATCCGGAGTGTCATTCTGCTGGTTGCGGCTTGTGGATTGCTGGCACGGCCGGTTCAAGTATTTTTGCCGCCCTACGCAAATAAAAAGTATTTGCCGCCCCCCATGTAGTGACATCACATATGCCCAATCCCTGAGGGAGCACCAGTCTGACCTTCTGGCCAGTATTAATGCTCCTTTCTAGGTCTGCCTGAGCAGCTCATTTGCACGGACTCCAGTAAAGCTGCCACATGTGCAGCCCATTTTGTTAGGGTATGCACCAGGAAATTCTTTCCCTATGTTATTTTTTATTGTTATGTAATGTGAATATTTTTAAAAATGTTGAGTGGATGTGTGTTGTGTAGGGTGGCTGAAAGTGTTGTAACTATGTGTGACGTGTATATTGTGGCTTTCTGTGCGTGATGTATTAGGCTATGTAATGTGTGTATAGCTGTCAGTGTCTGCGTGTGGGTAGCTGTGAGCGGTATGTGTGGCAATGTGAGAAGTTGTGAGTGATACGTTTGGGCCGCTGTGAGTGTTGTGCATGGCAATGTGTGACATGTGGGAAATTTATGTAGGAAGTAGTGGAATTTCCATTTAGTACAAAATGGGAAGGGAGATTCAAGTTTGCTGCCCCTCAGCCCAATATAGCTGGGGGGAGGGGGGGGTTTAGGTGCTGTAGTGAGGGTTTAAAAACAGCAGTCAGGGTAAGGGGCTGTAGTGATGGATAGGGGCAGTAGTGGATGTTCGGGGCAGTGGGGGGATAGGGGCTGCAGTGGGGATGTAGTGTGGAGTTAGGGGGTGTAGTGTGTTGTAGGTGGATTAAATAAGGGGTTAGAAGCTGTAGTGTAGGGTTAAGGGCTGAAGTGAGGGGTTAGGGGCTAAAGTGGTAGGTTAGGACCTGCAGTGGGGGGTCAGGGGCAGTAGTAGAAGGTAATGGGAAGTTGTAGGGGGTCAGGGGTTGTAGCAGGGGGGCTGTCACATCCTGTTCTGTCCTGCAGAGATGTCTGGCCTTGGCTTCTGGCATCCAGTACTCTTTTTACAATTCTTGTTTAGTTTTTCTTGGTTTTTCTGGTTTTCTATTCTATGTCTGGTTTTCTTTATGCTGGGTTTTCTGGGTTCATTCCTTTATTCCGTTCCTGGAATTCCCAGTATCCTGGATTCCTTTATATGTTTGTTTTTTTGTTACCACACCCGTTCCTTTTCCATTAATCCTTTTATTTCAGTTGGTTCCTGCAGGCAGTTGTTTCATGTCCTCTGCCCCTTTCTTTGCAGGTGAGTACTGTGTGTGTTTTATTGTTGATTTAGTCATGCATATCTAGGCAGTTAGGACCCACCGTACTTGGAGTACTTTGGCGCAGTGGTGGGCTGCATACATCTTGGCCATTTATGTATGTCTAAATCTCCAATGTTTTACATATATAGTACTTAGTTATGTCTCCTCTTGTTTTGCCTTGCATCTCTGGTCTTGTTTTATTTTGTCTTGTATTCCCAGTTCATGTACAGTCCTGTCCTGCCCTCTTTATGTTTCCCTCATGTCTTGTGTACATGTTCTGGGTTCTGCTTTCTGTCCTGCTCCTGTTCTGGTTTCTTCTAGTCTTGTCTTGTTTTCTTGTTAGGTGCCTGTTCTAGTCTTGCCTTGTTTCTAGTACTGGATACATGTGTGCTGCAGAGCCCCTCTATCCAGTTCCTGGGAGGTCTGCATATCATCATGCTCCTAGCTCTTGGGATCCGCAGAAGCTGCATCAGGGCCTTGGTATGTGGCTGCACAAACGTTGGTGCTCAACACCAGGGGGCGTGTGGTTACCCTGCACCAGGCCCTGATAGTCTATTTCCACGCTGAGACTCCATCATCATCAGGCACTCAGGGGTCCCGGTCTCCGTACCGCCAGCCATGACAGGAGCAGGGGCAGTTGTAAGAGGTCAGGACCCATAGTGGGGGCGAGGACCTGCAGTGGGGGATTAGGGTCCGTAATGGTGGGTTAGGACCTGCAATGAGTGGCTAAGGTCAATAGTAGGGGGGTTGGGACCTGTAGTTAGGGGTAGGGGCAATAGTAGTCGGTTGGTGGCAGTAGTAGAGGGTTAGGGGCATTAGTAGGGGCCAGGGGCAGTAGTGGATGGTTATGGGCAATAGTATGGGATTAGGGGTAATAGTGAGTGGTAGGGGTCAATGTTAGGGAGTTAGGGGCAGTAGTGAGGGTTAGGACTTTAGGAGGTTAGAAAGGGGCTAAAGGGAATGTTAAATATATATATATATGTGTAAATGTTTTTTTTTTTTTTTAAACTGTTTCTATCCGGTTCTGCACTCCCGGGGTGCTGCGTAGCAAATTGTGGGCGCTCCTGATGCCCACACCTCTCCCCGCCAGGCTGCACGGACACCTCTTCACGCGTCTCACTTGTAAAAGTGCTGCATGAAGAGGCGTGCACGGGGCGCCCCTTCCAAACGTGTCCCCAAGGCCGGCGCCACCTATAGGCGAAGTAGGCGCCGGCCTAGGGTGCACGTTTAGAAGAGGCACCCCGCACACGCCTCTTCACGCGGCACTTTTACAAGTTTGATTGCTGGTAAGCAATAAACCCAGATAGTAAAGAATACACCCATTACTCAACACTCTGTGCTCACTACCTATGGATTGACTATCTATTTGTTAAACAGGAAAATATCCCACTGCTCCTCACAGCACATATAAGGCCTTCTACCAGATTAATATGAGCTCTCCACTCAGGCGAAAGAATAGACATGGAAGCTAAATGAAACTCTCTTGAACGATGTAGGGGTAGAGGAACACATAACTCTAGCTATTAAAACGTACTTTGAGGAAAATGAAACTGATGAGTGTTTCCGTAGGGGACACTTACTAAACATAGCTACTCATAAAAAGTAGAGTGAAATGAAATTATCTCACCACTAAAATCTCAGAACTGGAGACTCAAGCTGTCACAGGCTGATACAGTCTATCAGGAATTACTTTTGGCTAGGAGGGAACTCTAGGTACTCCTCATGCACAAATATCACAGGTCATTTCAGAGGACCAAAAGATTATTTAATGCTCACACTAATAAGGGTGGGAGGGTAGATGCCTGGATGCTTCAAGGTCAGCGGACCTGTGTTCAAATACATAGAATTCAAACTAGGGATGAGAAATCCATTCCATTCCCAGATGCTGTTGTCAAAGAATTTCATTCATACTACTCATCACTAGGGATGTGCATAGGCAAAAAATTTGGTTCGGCACTTCCAAAATTTGGGACTTCGTCAATTCCCTAACCCTAGGGGGGTAGGGGTAGGGTTAGATTCCTGTCATCATTCACATAATTTTCTCTCCCTCTCCTGTTTTGCCACTTTTCAGAAATCCGAAGCATTTCGGCACTTCTGAAATTCAGCAATTTGTTTCGGCACTTCTGGAAATCGCCAATTCGGACATTCGTAAGTATCCGAATGTGCGAATTGCCAAAATTCGGCCAAATTTACATTCAGAACTAAATGAATTGCACATGTCTACTCATATTTATACATCTGGAGGAACAAACCAGCCCCAATGTGAAAGGTGCTCACACCAGAGACATTGACCAATACTTGTCTAATTATGTGCCATAGGTGCTGTTGGGTGAAGTGATAGACACCTTGGAAAGCATGTCTCGCAAAAGAAGAATTGTATAATAAGGGGGCCGGACAGGGATTATGAGACGTTCCCCGGAGGGACCCGCCGTCAGACATGGACAAGGGCGACGGGGAGGAGGACAGAGGGTGACACAGTTAGACAGGGCACCAGGACTGGTGGGCACAGCAGCTAAATGGATTAACCCAAAGGCGAATGACCACTAAACACTTGTTGACACCAACTCTCTTGTTCCCATCAAGAAATACAGATGGCTATGACAGTTGGTGGGCCAAAGATTGCCCGCTTGGGGCACCCCCCCCCCTAAGAGGGGCGGGACGTGCTCGAAGTTGAGGTGATGGCCCTAACCTACACGTAACGTCCCTGGGGAATAGAGTTGGACCGAGTTCCGAGTTAGATCCTCAGGGGGAATATCCGCAGGAAGGGTCATGCCACCCCTCCACTGGCACGCCGAGAGTGGACACACCCAAACAGAGAAGCATAGCCACTACACACAACCCAAAGGTCAACACACATGCCCACACGATCTCGTGGCCAAACGCTAGCTAACGCAGAACGCATGAAACAATGCTCCACCGGCAAGCCCAACGCTACGAGCCCAGCTTGACTTGACCAAGGACCCCAACTAAACCTCTCTACAAAGACTGACCCTATCCTATCGACCATTACAAATTTTTTTAAAAAATCCCAACGACATAAGGGTTCATTTAGTTTATTAACACTTGTTATCATGTGTCAAATACCAATGTGTAAACTGTACCGTTAACATGTTGCACAAAAAAAAAGAATGTCAAAAAAAAAAAAAAAAGATTTGTCTAGAGCTCTCAAGTTGACCAAAATTGGCAAAGCGCCTGGCCCCTATTGCCTCTTGTTAGGCTGCATTTCAGCTTCAGTAAACATGAGGATTGCACATGTGATTGAAATATGGTAATTTTCACAAGGATTTTGTCCATCTGGTCTTTATTGAATAACCCTGCTAGTGTTTTGCGTTCCCTTTAGACTGGTTACTTGATCTTTAGGAACACACCAGCACTGCATATGAAGAGGGCTGTTTGGCTAGGTCCAGCAATATATACACTGATCAGCCACAACATTACCACCTGCCTAAAATTGTGTAGGTCTCCCTCTTGCTGCCAAAACAGCTCTGATTCATTGAGACATGGACTCCACAAGATTTCTGAAGATGTCCTGTTGTATCCGGCACCAAGACATTAGCAGCAGATCCTTTCAGTCCTACAAATTGTGAGGTGGGTCTCAATGGAATGAATTTGTTGTTCGAGCACATCCTACAGCTGCTCAATTAGATTGACATATGGGGAATTTTCGAGGACAAGGTAACACCTTGAACTCTTTGTCATGTTCCTCAAACCATTTGTGAACATATTTTCAGTGTGGCATTGATGCATGAATGCAGTGATGCATTATCGTGCTGAAAGAGGCCCCTGCCATCAGGGAACGTGATCTGCAACAATCTCTAGGCAAGTGGGATGTGTCAAAGTAACATCCACATGAATACCGGGACCCAAGGTTTCCCATCAGAACATTGCCCAGAACATAACACTGCTGTAACGATCCTCATGTACTTCGTGAAGTACATTCGTTCGCACTCTCCTAAAATGCTAGAGGATTAAGTAATTATAGCCCATTCGCATAGTACGCTAGTTTGCACTCTCACAAAATCCAAGCAGGTTGTGAGAACAAATCAATCGCTTCACTGTTCGCATACCCAAACATCAATCGAGACTTGATGAAGGTTACAACAGGAATCATTTATTATGGCCAAATTGCCCACTTTTATACACAGACCCCCAGCATGGGGTCTCCAGCAGTAACATAGTAAAACACTCCCACAACACATTCTGGAGTCTTTGTGTCTGGGAGATAATTGAGTGTAGTTTGCTTAAACTAATTATCTCCCAGCCACAAAATATAAAACATAATATACCCCAAAATACATATACAAACAAAGGAACCTCCACAAATATAATATCCCCGGATAGCCTGGATCTGAGTGCCCAACATTTCCAAATAGCGCTCAGATCGGCTCATAGGGCAATTGTTCATCTGGTCTGTGCGAACAATCCTACTGAACAGAGCTCACCTGGATTGTCGTGGAAGGAAGCAGGCGTTTGTACTAGATGTTTGTACTAGTAGGCATGTGCATGGGCAACTTCGGCACTTTGGCATTTCGACACTTCGGAACTTCAGCATTTCGGAATTTTGGGACTTCGGCACTTCTCTTGCAGCCGCTTAGTAGATAACTCCCTAATTCCCACGGTATTAGGGAGTTATCTACCAAAAGGCTGAAAGACCCAAATTGGTCTTTCAGACAAATGTACTAATACTAAGTAAAAATTACTGTTAAAAAAAAAAAAAAAGTGGGGGCCCTAAAGTAAAATGATGGGGGAGGGACCTATTGTCCTCCCCCCCGGCCCCCACCCCAGAGTGGTGGATGGGGCCCTAAATACTAATAAGGGGGGGACCTAATGTCCTCCCCCCTGACCTCCACCCCTGAGCAGTGGGTGGGGGCCCTAGATAGGAATAAGGGGGGGGGACCTAATGTCCTCTCCCCTGGCCCCCACCCCTGAGCGGCGGGTGGGGGCCCTAAAGTAAAATGATGGGGGGGGGACCTAATGTCCTCCCGCCTGGCCCCTACCCCTGAGCTTTTTTTTTTTTTAATGTGAGCAGCCACTGTTTAATAGACGTGCCCCTACTCGCGGTATTGCAAGTAGGGGCATAATTTAGTAATACTAAGTAATCTTTTTTAGTAGATAGCTCCCTAAGACCGTGGGAATTAGGGAGTTATCTACTTATTCATTCCTGTCATTACATTGACTGACTAAGTAGTGAGTAGAGGCATAATTTACTAATACTAAGTAATCTTTTTTAGTAGATAGCTCTCTAATACCGTGGGAATTAGGGAGTTATCTACTTATTCATTCCTGTCATTACCTTGACTGGCTAAGTAACTTACATTTTATATGAATGTATGTTACTTCATTGTTGTAAGTGTTGCAAATGCTTACAGCTGAATCCTGGCTATGTTTGTATACTTTTTATTTAAAATTGTATACAGTGTAACATTCTTCATTCTTCCACTGGGTAAGTATTAGTTCTTAGGCAATACTGTGCTTCGGAACTTCGAAACTTCAGCACTTCGACACTTCGGAAATTGAGTAATTTCGGAACTTCGGTACTTCGACAATTCGGCAATTCATCTATTCGGACTTTCGGAAGTACCAAAATTTCGAATTCAAATTCGGACCGAAACGAATTGCACATGTCTAATGACCGGTGTTCGTGGGATTGAGTGTCCGACTTAGAGTTCTAGACACTGGTTGACCAAGTACTGCTGCCTGCTTTCAGGAGACAAGATGGCCGCCTTTTTCCAGTGCACGTGTTGTTCAGTTTTACGAACGTCAGCCACACAGAGAGAGCACTTAAGTTCGTGGTTTTCTTTGAAGGTAATGAGCCAGGTGGGTGGCCGGTGTTCGGTAGATCAATCTACCGAATGCAGGGAAAAATAACTGGGACAAAGAAATATGGAGTTTTGCCACAAGTTCCGTTGCCAACCTGCAAACTTTCCATAATGCATCCTGCTGCCATCTCATCACTTGCCCATTTTTCCTGCTTCCCTGACCTAGTCGTCTAACCATCATTATTTGGCCCAGAGTCACTCAGATCTTTTCAATTGCCCATTTTTCCTCCTATAACACATGAAATTCCTCGTTTTGCGACCTACCTGTTCTACGACGGCTTGCACTTACGACTAGCTCTTTCGCGGGTAGACCTCTCCTAGTCCAGAGAGCGTAGCAGGAACAGCTCTTATAAGAGCTAGTGATTATACTCAGGGGAGTATTGTGATTTAGCAATCCCCCGAGTGAATATAGTTCTCCAATCCCCCAAACATGAGC